ATTATATAATGTTACTGTTTACTAGATGCTCGTGGCTTCTCCATTAATGTGTATTTGTGAAAAGGTTTTATTTTTTCATGCCTATTAAACCCAAAAGATTCTGCTTGCATTTGTGTTTGACAATTCTTTCTTTGGGCATGCACTGTAATTATTCCGCTAGTGACATTAATCTAGGTATACGCTATAATATACATTTTATATCACTAGAGATTTGAATAGAGTGCCAGTGACATCCCAGACTAAATTGGGCTTTTAGGGTTTTGGCTGCTTCAAGTGGAACTGTGTTATCAGTTTTCCTGGGATAGATAAATAGAGAGTAATAGGAAAAACTGAAATACCGCTCCTGTAGAAAATGCTGTTCTTTCTAATGCTGGCCATACAGTATGTGTAAAAACCTTTATCCCTTGGCCACAAGGTTTTAGCTAAAAAGGAAACATTTACTGAGGGAAATATATGGGACTGCCCTTGCTAACCTCTACTTCCTAAATTGGTAGTTTCCCGGCTGTCGTGCCAATCCTATGACGTTAAAACTTTCTGAATCACTGGATTGGGACCAGAACTTCGGACTTGTTGCTTATTCCTGGTTCAAAGAATGCAAGACACTACAATCGTACAAAGAACATGATCAATAGTGGCAGCCTATGTATTTCTCTCACAATTGGTTTGTTGAAGGAGTAAATCAGACAGTATTAACAGTGATCTTCCTCTTTAGCAGAGATCACAGCACCAAAAAACTAAGGGGTCTATTCACAAAGCTAGCCGAAGGATCAGCCGAAGCTGATAGCCGAGCGGATTCGGCTATTCACTCACTGCCTGCCCTATGAGAATATGGGCGAACGGCAGCGAGCGAGCTGCCGGAGCTTCGGCTCAGCCAATCCAGATGTTGGATAGCTGAGTTAAAGTCTTTCTGCACTTTGGCTCAGCCGATGTACGGCTGAAATCAGCCGTAGTGAATAGCCAAACAGCGTTCGGCTCACTTCACTACGGCTCGGTTATTCACTCGGCTGCCTTCGCCAGCTTAGTGAATAACCCTTTAAGCCTTCAGCCATTTGGCAAGTGCTGAAGGGAAGTAGTGTTCTGGCCCTTAGAATCCCTACTATATTAATGACACATGCCTGATAGATATTAAGGCCTTTCTGTTACTCTTCATGTATCCATCCCACCAACTATATTCATAGTAAACGTTAACAAATGTGACAAAACCTGAAAGATCCAGTAATTTAGTAATATAACTGGCAATACAATGACAGCACACATTTCATTGTATTATAACTTATGTAACCTACTTCGGTGCACACTTACATGCACAACGGTGGATGCTTTTCCTTGAGTAAACTCACAGCATGGCACTAGGGATACACATAGCTAACACACCCTTGGGTTTTCCATTATTTTAAAAGACACATGCCTACTGAGTTTAAAGTGTATTTGCACTTTTGCAGCCATATTGGAATAACACCTACTTTATATTTGTTACATGTTCTAAGTCACATAGCATGACTTAACCTTCCTGGCGGTAATCCTGAGTGTGGCTCGGGGGTTAATTTTCAGTACCAAAAGCGGTAACCCTGAGCCACACTCGGGATTACACTGTGCGTCACTTACCTTGTCCCTACGAGCCCCGCTGTGTCCGCCGGCCGATGCCGGCATCCGTTTTCCGGGTTCTGTCCCTGGCGAGGGGCCGCGTTACAGGGGGGCGGAATTAGCAGGAAATTTAAAAGTAAAAAATAGAAGAAAAAAATACTGCGATAATCAGACCGCCAGGGAGGTTAAAACAATATTTGAACATTTCTGCTTAAATTTTAAGTGTTTTTTAAAACCCTACCTAGTGCCCCTCCTGTAATGTTAAGGAGGGGGCTGTAGGAAGTTATGTTTACTCTAATTAACCTTGTCGGTACTGTGCTGGCAGATTTCATTATCACCTGTAAACTAGATTTGAACACTGCAAGAGGAAAACAAAGGAACAGCGCCTTCTCCTTATGAAATACTGTTTATTTCTCCAAATATAAACTGTAAAACACCTCACAAACGGTGTCTGTTACATGGAATTTCAGAATAGCCATTCAAACTGGTAAACAGAAATCGGCAATGGGCTGAACAACAACGATATTGTGGGCCAGAACGTTAATAGATTCATGGGGTCTGTCAGTGCCTGTCAGCCGGAAATCTCTATGATGATGAAGATTTCCAGCTGACAGCCACTGACAGACCCCATGAATCTGCTCCTATAGGTCCACATTATACACATATCTGACATGTTACCTGGCCTTATTTAGGGTATATCCCTTGAAACGCGTCAGCAAGACTAACGTTCTGGCCCACAATATGGTTGTCTACCTGTTCAGCCCGATTTCTGTTTACCAGTTCGGATGGTTATTCTGAAATTCCATGTAACAGAAACGGTTTGTGAGTAATATTTTATTCAGTTTATATTTGGATAAATAAACAGTATTTTACTAGAAGGCGCCGTTCCTTTGTTTTTCTCTTGCATGTTTCCTGAGGCTTCCCAACCTGTTATGGAACAGCAGTCCCCTCTGTGCCATCATATTGATGTCCATCTCTGAGTATTCCTTCCATATGATGATGTGAGACCCCCACCAAGCGCTGACAGATTGGAAAATAGATTTGAACACTGTCTGTCCTAACAAAGGATTAAATACGTAGAAGCATTGTATGTTAAAGTGGACCTTTACCCATATCTTTAAAATAATAACACACACACACACCTTTAGAAATGTTTAGTAATGACAATCTACAAACACATACTTCTAGATAATTGCCGGCTTTGTATTCTTTGCAAACCTTATTTTTAATTTCTTCCCCAGTCTTCTCACAGTGGCTAAATGCAGGTTACTAGATCTCCCCTTGCTTCCTGGAACTCTGGCACATGTGACTAGGACATGTGACCATGCATATCATCTCAGGGGAGGGAAATGCCTTTCCCCGAGATCATACGAGATTACAGATGAGATTTCCCAGCAATGCTCTGCTGATGTAACCTTCCCAGGATGCAACTCTTGGACACATTACTTCATTTGTGCCAAAACTGCACCAGGAAGTAGATGAACTCTATTTGTAAGAGAATGAAAATCATGTTTGCTTAACTAATGAATGTAAGATGATGTGATTTTTAGTGAAAGGGGGGTAAAGGTCCACTTTAATAGAGAAAGCTGAGTCTGTCTCTCTATGTTTGAATTTAAACTGCTCAGAGTATATAGAAGAAGCCCTTCTTAATTCCAGCACCTAGTCCTCTGCTCTGAAGAGTTTCTCATTGGTCAGCGCAGTCATCTGACAGGACTAACCAATGAACGCTTGCCCTTTGCGAGAATTATGATTATTCCAGACTACAGGGCTGTCAATTCTAATGTGCAGCTCACTACACCAGCTGACTGGGGTGTACCACAACAGGGACTGGGGGGAAGCTTCATCCTCTTGGAGTACAATGATGATTGCGACGTTCTTTTTTATTTGAGAGACACAAAACAAAGCATGCGGCACAAATTTCCAGCTGTGGCAAGGGCAATTACAGAGACATGGCAAAGATGAATGACAGTTTCTTTTTAAAAAAATGATGTACTGATAGATGTAGCATCGAGTAGACAACAACATGAATGTACAGCAGAGAAAAGAGTCACTTATCTTCTTAGCAGCTGTCCTAATTGGAAGAAAAAATGAAAAGTAGCCTGGGTATTACAACACACAAGTTCATACAGAAGTAGGGTTCTAATTAAAATGGAACAAAAAGATCACCAGGAGGTAGAGTTTTTCGGCACTCTTCTATGGAGTGGGGCTTGGGAGCCATCAGATCAGCTGATCGATGGAGCCCGCTGGAAAACACGATCAGAGCCGGCAGCCATTGAGCTATCCGCTCTGGTGGGGTATTCTAACCAGGTGCCAGCAGCCTCTGTATATGAACAGCGGTTTCCTCGATCAACACGCTGTTAGTGTTTGAGGAATCTAGTCTATTTTTTATGTTCAGCCCGTTGTTGAGCAAAAAAAAAAAAAATAGATCAGTGTATGGCCAGCCCTAAACTATACAGGTTATGGTGGGAAGGGACTAAAACTTTACTGTACTACAAACCTATTAGAGGGAGGGAGTCTTTTGAAGCTATGGTCCCATCTCACCATAACCTGTATGGCTATATTGTATTGATGGGTCCCAAGCCCAACTCCATAGAAGCCGTGGTGTCCAATACACTGCACTGATGGCCAAAGAGCCTGAAACAGCTTTATGCGGTTTGGAATAAATGGCTCTATAGCATTAGATTATTAATTCACGATACACCAACAGGTCTGGGTGTGCATATGGCCAATGGGGTGCAATTATTTGAATGCCTTCTGTTTTAGAGCTCACTCACACGAAAGGCAGAGTTAACCCCCCTCAGAACAAATGGTGGATTGCTTTTCAAAGGAGGGCAGAGCACTGGTTTCCAGGCATTCAGGATGGTGGAGGTATTTTTGTTCTCCCAAGGGGGTTTTTACATGCAACTACCACGCCATAAATGCATGCCAAGCATTTGGCATGCAGTTGCTCTCCCATTCACACCAATGGTCACTTTTGGCATACAGCAATGCCTGGTGAAAGCAACATACTAATTTTAGCAACATTGCAGCTCTGCTAATGTGTACATAACTGTCTGGCTGCAGTGCTAACTTGTTAGCAGGCGGCCAGGAAGCTGAAAAAAATGCAGATCAACCAAATATATTTACCACCCCTTGGATGTTTAAAATTAAAGACATGAAAAAGGAAAAGTTCCCAAAAGAAAGGTAACAAGCACGAAGGTTCTAGTCTATAGTGCTGTGTGGTCCTCTGGTATGCTGGATGGCCTTGCACTATCCACAGACATACAGCTGCTCCATAGAGGTGACCACCCCGACCTGTTCTGTCGCAAAAAGTTGCAGAGGCCACTGCACAAGTGCACATTGCCCAGTGCATGCCGGGAAAAGCAGGTTAGCGAAGTAGAGGATCTCGGGAGGAGTAGTTCAGCGCTCCGGAAGATGCTGGGTGGAAGTGGTTTGTACTAGGGGGCCAAGGTGACATGGAGCTGTCAGGCCTGGAAACATTGTGTGGGGGCTCCAGCCTGGCCTTCACCAGCCTCTTCTATTACCTGTACCGGAGGCAGCGAGCGGCTGTCTGCCGTATTCAGGTACGGTGTACCGGGTGTGTGCTGTGTAACGCACAATGCTGTCCGCACTTCTCATCCCTGCCCCATCTTGTGTAGTTCCGTCTATGGAAGTTCCACCACTCACTTTATACGAGCAGTTGTAGACAATAGTTTTGGTTTTCATTTAATTGATATGGTATTAATAAGAAGTAGTCACAGAGAAAAAGAAGGCACTCTGTGCTCGAGTTGTATTTATAAAGTGGTACAAAGAGCATTGATATACCACAAACAGAGCTAATCACAATATGCTTGTGCTGGTCTGCAGATAGTCACCTTTGGGACCTTTTTTGGTGTTACACCCATATTTAGTATATGGCATGAAACATGCTCATATTCATGAATCCCTCCACTTACCTGAATCGCAGGGTGCCTCTTCCTGGAGCATCCTCTATATTTGTGAATTTGATGCGGCTGTGTCTAGCTGCACCTGCACAGCTGTATCATCTGTTCACAGATCTATTCGGGGGATCTGTGCATGGAAAAACTACAAGTCTTATGTAGATCTCAATGGAACACCAAAGCTATGATGTCACCTGACTTGTAGTCCATTGGTAACTTCCTCCATCCTCACGGCCTCCTGTTTTTGGTTTCTGTTCAACCAGTAATTCTTTCAGAGCATCAAGTGTATAAAAAAAGCCAAAACTGGAAAAGGGAATAGTAAAGACCTGCCAGCTGTCTTTTGTTTTTTTTATCTGTCTGTTCTGCTGGAAGATTTCTGTTTACTTCCTGGCTCAGAAACACAGCAATCATTAAGAATAGTCTCTCCAAAGCAAGGAGATGTCCCCTCTTGAACTGGGTATACACTGTTTTCACAATCTAATAGATTCCCACATCCATGCTAAACAGTGTGGATGGAGCATTCTCACACTGTGGCTATTGTATTTTGACAATCATCCCTGCCGGTTGTCAAAATACCTGCATCTGATTGGATGTTGGGATGTCTGACTGGCGTAAGGCGGCAGACAAGACCACCCACAGAATACATTTTGGCTGCTCCGTGTATACCGTACTTTAGGCAGTTGTCAGCAGAACAAATTTCCCTCTCAATTTGTGTTCCTGTGACAACTCCATTACTTTCTGTACTGGAGTGCTCATCAAGACTAATAGTGAATTTCCCCAAAGAGGACAAATACAAATGGCTCTAACCCTTACACATTTCATCCAAAACCAAAATAAAACCGTTTTGACTTTAATACACTCTTAATCTATTGATCAAATTTTGCAAGTCAATCAAATTAGTTTCCTTTATTCTTGGAATCTCTTTCAATCATATTAGCAATCATACATGTACGGCTAGGATTAGGCTGGCCATATACATGGCAATTTTCAGACAACATCAGTCAGCTTTCAATAGCAAAAATGATTGAACTGATCATTTCACAAAGATGTGTCAACTGATCAAGGCAACCTACCATCAGTTTCCATTGTTATATGTTTTTACAGGAAATGTTTGTAGTAGGTTGCCTTGATCACTTTGCCCAACCTTACAATTAAAGGGGTTGTAATTGCTGGAAAAGTTCCCTTTGTATGTCTGTAAAAAATAAGTCAATGCAGCTGGACATGCTGTATTTTTTCTTGAAGACGTTTCACTGGTCATCCAGCCAGCAAGCTGGTTGGATGACCAGTGAAACGTCTTCAAGAAAAATACAGTAAGTCCAGTTGCCTTAACTTATTTTTTACAGATATACCATGACCTGGATGAATGAGAACCTTCAGACATTTCCCTTTGTATGGCCAGCAATAGAGGTAAAACCCTAAAGTCTGATGCCTGATAACATATTTTGCCTGCTGGGGGTACATAATAGAGCCCACTTCACACTTTTTTTTTTATATAGTGTAGGGAAGGTTTAGAAACGTGTTATTATTGTTGTCTGCATCCCAGTTCCAGCATAAAGGAAGGTGTAGAAACAGACTTCCCCCAACAGGGACACAAGCAGTAATAAGACATTTTATTTCCTATTAGTAGAAGGGAAAATGTTAGGACCTCTGTCAGGTTTTTGTGACTGCATATGTCCCCACTGGGAAGGTATCCCTTCACTTCCTGTCCAGGAGACCAGTGTCACACTGAACAAAACGTGATGAAAAGGATCTGAGATGGCATACTCAATATTTGAAACCTCACAGAGAAGGAGGTTCCCGGTTGATTTAGTAAAGGCTGTTCACTGTGAATGATGGGAAATCCTGGACCTGTTTTCAATTTGAATAACCATGTGCAAGGAAATGTAAAAAAGGTTGTGATTGGTTAATTGAAGTGAACCCAGCTTCAGCTTTTGCAATACATTTATTGAGTATTCACTTTGCTAAGAGAATATTAATTATTTTCTGCAGTTCCAGCACTGTGTGCAGTTTTGGGACTTTACTGGTTATTGCATCTTCTCAGCAGTGTTCCAGCCATGGGCCTGTCATCTTTGTTATAGTAGTGAAGATGTAGAGCATGTATTATCATCACTTCCTTGATATGTCTCTTGTGTTTCCAATCACACAGGCAGCTCCCAGGCTACAGGTGAGTGCTGACCTGCGGAGATTGATGGAAACAACACGGGAAATGAGTTATGTGGCATTGGAAGGTAAGTGAGAGGCTCATTATAGCTGGGTGTACGTGGCTGATCTTTCATACAATACAATGTGAATAGTCTTATGCAGGAAAGTACTTCATTAAAGAAGAACTCTGGGAACAATGATTCGTAACCCTTGCAAAGGGGCTACCCTCGCACTGCAATGGTCTTTTTTGCACCTAGGGACAAAAATAAAAAAGTTATACTCACCTGATTCTCGGAGCAAGCTGGCTGCTAGACTGGTCCCTTACAGTGAACCTTTACCCATATCTTTAAAATAACAACACACACACCTCTATAAATGTTTAGCAATGACAATCTACAAACACATACTTCTAGATAATTGCCGGCTTTGTATTCTTGGCATACCTTATTTCTCTTTTCTTCCCCAGTCTTCTCACAGTGGTCATGTTTACTAAGGGCAGATTACTAGCTCTCCTTTTACTTCCTGAATCTCTAGCACATGTGATTAGGACATGTGACCATGCACATAATCTCAGGGGAGGAAAATGCCTTTCCCTGAGATGAGATTTCCCAGCAATGCTCTGCTGATGACAAGGCAATCCCAGTGTGCATTGCTTTGGCAAACTGAAGTCATTTTGCACTTTCAAAGCAGGAAGTGAATTCTCTGCAAGTGTAACGATTTCATAATCACAGCATTTTACCCCTGACATGTCTATGTTGTTATTAATCATCAAACATAGAGGGATGGATTGGTAGAATTAGATTTTTGAGTGTAAAGGTCCGCTTTAAGCCTCTGTCCCCCTCCACTCCAGTGGTCTAAGATCCTGTGAGTCATCACATTCTCTACTGTGTATCAGAAGTGAGGATGCTGGAGCGGAGGAGGAGACAGGCTGAAGGGACTGGTGTAGCAGCTGCGGTTCAGGTGAGTATATCTTTCTTATTTGTCAACCCCAGATGAAAATAAACACTTAACCTTTGCAGTGTGGGGGTAGCCCCGCTGCAAGGGTTAAGTATAATTCACCCCAAAGTGCTTCTTTAAAACCCCAGTCTTCTCACAGTGGTCATGTTTACTAAGGGCAGATTACTAGCTCTCCTTTTACTTCCTGAATCTCTAGCACATGTGATTAGGACATGTGACCATGCACATAATCTCAGGGGAGGAAAATGCCTTTCCCTGAGATGAGATTTCCCAGCAATGCTCTGCTGATGACAAGGCAATCCCAGTGTGCATTGCTTTGGCAAACTGAAGTCATTTTGCACTTTCAAAGCAGGAAGTGAATTCTCTGCAAGTGTAACGATTTCATAATCACAGCATTTTACCCCTGACATGTCTATGTTGTTATTAATCATCAAACATAGAGGGATGGATTGGTAGAATTAGATTTTTGAGTGTAAAGGTCCGCTTTAAGCCTCTGTCCCCCTCCACTCCAGTGGTCTAAGATCCTGTGAGTCATCACATTCTCTACTGTGTATCAGAAGTGAGGATGCTGGAGCGGAGGAGGAGACAGGCTGAAGGGACTGGTGTAGCAGCTGCGGTTCAGGTGAGTATATCTTTCTTATTTGTCAACCCCAGATGAAAATAAACACTTAACCTTTGCAGTGTGGGGGTAGCCCCGCTGCAAGGGTTAAGTATAATTCACCCCAAAGTGCTTCTTTAAAGAGACACTGTCAGCTTGCAATTTCAGGGCAAAGTGACAATGTCTCTGCAAAGGGCCAACCCTCTATATTATCCTTACCGGCACTCCCTTGATGTCCCTTCCTCCTCAGCAGCTTGCACTCAGTGACTAGTCTTGGTGACCCAGGGGAGTGGAGGTGTCACTCTCTGGTCATGTGAGAGTGCAATTGTTTACTAGACCTGATAACTGTTACAGGGAAGGAAGGCACATGCTCCTCCATATCCAGAAGTGCTAGGTATATGGCTGATGTGCCCTGCTATTTCCCCAACTTTGCTTTCTGTATCTTATGATCTTATGATCGCATCAACTTTTATTTCCAAAGTGTAAGCCAACTTGTTGTACTTTAAAAGGTTGTTAAAAATGAAAAATGTAAGGAACTTTTCTTCTTTCAAAATAACAATTTCTTGGATGAAAATAATGGAAGTGCCAGGGTTTAAAGCCAGCTGAGGAGAATGCCCAGATTTCTGAACCATTTTTGCAGTGTGGCAGGGTGCATTATGCTGTTGAAAGAGGCCACTGCCATCAGGGAATACCATTTCCATGAAGGGGTGTGCTTGGTCGGCAACAATGTTTAGGTAGGTGGTACTTGTTAAAGTCACATCCACAGGAATGGCAGGACCCAAGGTTTCCCAGAAGAACATTGCCTAAAGTATCACATTTCCTTCACCCGCTTGCCTTCTTCCCATAGTGCACCTTGGTGCCATCTCTTCTCCAGGCAAACCAAACACGCACCTGGCCAAACACATGATGTAAAATAAAATGTAATTCATCAGACCAGGCTACCTTCTTTCATTGCTCGGTGGACCGCTTCTGATGCTCACATGCCCATTATAGGTGCTTTTGCCGGTGCACATGGGTCAGCATGGGCACCCTGACAGGTGTGTGGCTACACAGCCCCATACACAACAACCTGCGGTGCACTGTGTGTTCAGACACCTTTTTTTAGAACCGGCCTTAACTTTTTCAGCAATTTGAGCTATTCCCTTGTACAGAAGATGTACAAACCCGTACACAAATGATTTTAGTGGCATTGGATTCTGCCACAGCAGACATTTTCCAGCTTCATATAAGATTTGTCCGATCACCACCCATGGATTTTCATTACCCAGGAACACCAATATATACATATGTGGACAAATTTGTTGGTACCCTTCCAGGAGGAAAGAAGAATCCACAGGTTTCTCTGAAATTACCTGAAACTGAGCAAAGTATTTATATGGCAATCATCATTGTTTGTTCTATATTTAATACAAGCCAAACTTTGATTTTAGATTTAATTGGCTGACTTTGGGTCACAGGAGTACATTACTAAATGTACTTCTGTGACTGAAAAAATGAAATTACTTTATTTCACTCTTAATTTTTTTATTTTTTTTTAAATTGAATCCATGATTGGTAGGAAAACAAGGGATAGATTAGTCGGCTTTTCTTTCAAGAAATTCTTGAGCTACGCGTGGTTTTGTGAAACTGTATTTTTAAAACTTCTATACCAGACTTCGCAACAACAGCTGAATTTCTTACATTTTACTTCCCTTATTTGTATACATGTAGTTTCATGTTCTTGTAATACACTAATAAAGTGAGTAATCCTGTTTTTTTCTTTGCAGGAAGGGTGGAGGCAGTTGGTAACGCTATCAGTAGTGAGAACCATCCCCATCTACAGGCTGTAATTCAGAAGCACCAAATGGTAGAGCATCGCTTGTTTTGGAACAGCCTGACAAGTAGCTGGTGAGAGGAATAGTTAAATCAGTAGCAATGATGTGTCATTGGTTTGTATGTAAATGAGGGTGATAATTAGGGCCCCAGGCACCTTGTGGTGATCATTATTGTACAGGGAGGTTTTTTCAGTTTTTTGGAAAATTTTCCTGTGAGCATATCCATATCCTTCACTATTTTATGTAGAATAGTGACGCATCCAAAGTACCACTCATTTTCCATTAATTCCATCCTGCAGGTTCCAAGTACAGATCCACTAAATTATAGTTCACCTAACATTGAAAACACGATATATTGATGGCTAACTTTCCATTTTAACTGTTTCATCATGTCATACTTTTTTATCCATCAACTAGGTATCTCCACTTCTGATCCCTCCAGTCTGAGAAAAGTATTTTTTTTTTTTTAATTTAGGGTGCGCTCTTCCCTTTTTTTTTTTTAAGCACTTGCTGTCCGGAGCAATTTCTTAATATTTGCACACACATGATGAAATCTGAATTTTTGGCTAGAAAACAGCTTCAAAACCCTTCAAAAACAATGATATATTTTCTGAAAGCAGAGGCCCTGTAGAATAAAAAAATGCTAGTTGCAATTTTTTTTGCACCAATGTTTATCAAAGCGGTATTTTTACATACGGTTTTAAAATACACTAAAATGAAATTTAATGCACAGAAACAGAATATAATACCCACATTTTTGGTAAAATATAACAGGCGGGGTCACGTCGGGTAAATAGATACCAAACATGTCAAGCCCTAAAATCGTGTTTGCCGTGAAAGGGGGGCTTTAAAAAAATGTGCATTTTTTGTTACTTTCATATTTTTATCACATAGGGGGCTAACAAGCGACCCCAAAGCGGAGCCTGGGGGGTGGGGGCAGCACATGCCGCCAATCGGTACAAACAATCAAGTGCCTGTATAGACGTCGGATCGCTTGTATCTTATCAGCCATCACCGGCTGTTTAAAATGACACGAAGAACACAGCTGCAGCAGCAGCTGTGTTCTCGGTATAACCACTTCTGCGGGCTGCCGTATATGTACGTATTGCAGTCCGAAAGTGGTTAAATAGCCACACATTTAGCCAGTGAAGTATCAGGACACCTGACCTGCTTACTAGTGATGCAAGGGTAGGGATGACAGCCAGGGGCTTGCATTGTGAACCTTCTGCCTGCCACTGAATTATGTCATACGTGATGAATGTCCCTCTCCAAAGTAGCTTGATATGTGATATAGACAGGTTAACAATCAAGGGGCTAACATCTGAAAGCGAAGAGATAACAGTCATGGTCCTGTATTCACTCCAAGAGCACCTGGAAAGTCATAAGGCTGCCTGCTAAGGTCCCATGAATTCCCTCACGTAGGGGACTTGTATGTTAAAGTCATGAAAGGAGAACTATGGGGTCAGGCTTTTCCCCATAGTTCTCAGGGTCACAGGAGGACACAAACTAGCGTTCTCCTGTGACCCAAAGCTCAGTAGCTTTGGGTATACTGAGACGCAGCAGCCTCGCGGTATACTGAGACGCAGCAGCCGGAATGGACTCCGACATTGATGTCGAGATCCACCCAGCTGCGGGATTGACAGCTGGCGCTGCCTATCCAGAGGCAGAGCCAGCTGTACCCGCCCACTCCCCTGTCCTTTCCGCCAGTCAGCGCTGGAGGATCGGACAGTGGAGGGGGGAATCCCTGCAGGGAGCCATGAGTGACAGTCACGGCTCTCTGCAGGGATAGATCGAGAAGTGAGCGAGCGAGGGTATGTGTTCGCTCACTTCCCGATCTACTGAGCCGACCTGTGACAGTTTCATTGTCACAGGTCGGCTCAGATTATGAGGCTGAGTGAAATTCACTCGCCTCATAATTCTCCTTGAATAAAGAAACTAATAAAATGTATCCGAATTCTTTAATTAAATGTTAATAAAAAAAAATCTAAATACAAAACAATTATACATACAAGCCCTTTGTTTACATAAGTGTTTCTACCCATAATTAGAATGTACAGAATTACATAGTAGGTATCACTTTAATTTTATAGACTTGGTGTTCACTAAACCTGCGCATCCTACACCACTGGACATTCAAATAATTAAAATGGTTATTTGCATTGCTTCTTTAAATTTCACCTTGTCTATTAAAACTCACTGGACCTTTCTCTCATCACCATTCACAATTTACTTACAAACTAATCTAATTTCTTCTATACCCTCCTAGCTGCCCTTATTTTTTGTATTCTTTCCCTACAGTGAACAAAAAAAAAAAGCTGTTGGAACAGTATAGAAGAAATGAGCCAGGTGAGAGTAGTTTGCTACTACATTTTGAGATAAGATGAGAAAAGGTTTAGTGAGTTTTAATAGACAGAATGAGTTTGAAAGAAGCAATGGAAATAACAGTTACAATTTAATAGTTTGAATGCCCAGTGGAGTAGGATGCAGGGGTTTGGTGAAGTGTGTCCAACACCAAGACTTTAAAATTAAAGTAATTAATTCCATGGAGGAGTGAAAATAAAAAATATCACGATCATTTAAAGCTGCAATCAGGGCTTAGCAATTACTGTCTAAATACAAGAGCCATATGTATACTTTATTATTTTTAATATTGTACAGGATTTATATAGCGCCAACAGTTTGCACAGCGCTTTACAATATAAGGAGTTACAGTTACAATACAGATCAAGACAAGAGGGAGGGCCCTGACCATGAGAGCTTACAATTTAAAAGGGAGGGGCAAGTGATACAAGTGGTGATAGCTGTTTGAAGGATGAATTGTTTGAGAACGTGATGGTTCAGTGATTAGTTTGAGGTGGGATAGGCTTCCCTGAAGAGATGAGTCTTTAGGGATAGCCTAAAGGCAGACAGAGTAGGAGCTAGAGGGACAGGTTGGGATAAGGAGTTCCAAAGGATGGGAGAGACTCTAGAGAAGTACTGGAGGCGAGCATGGGAGAAGTTGACGAGGGAACTAGGGAGCAGGAGGTCTTTTGAAGAGCTGAGGGGACAGTTAGGGTGATACTTTGAGACCAGGTTGGAGAGATAGCCAGGGGTAGAGTTGTGGTTTGGACTATTGGAAGCCAGTGCAGGGATTGGCAGAGGGAGGTTGCAGACACTGAGCAGTTGGTTAGGTGGAGGAGTCTATCAGCTGCATTTATGATAGACTGAAGGGGTATAGCCTGTGTAGGCTGAGGTAGCCAATGAGGAGGGAGTTGTAGTAGTCAGGGTGAGAAATAACAAGTCAATGGATGAGTAGTTTTGAGGTTTCATTGGTGAGGAAGGGGCGTATTTTGGAGATGTTACCAAGGTGAAGGCGGCAGGATTTGGATAGTGATTGGATGTGTGGCAGAAAGGTGAGGTCAGAGTCAAGAAGTAAGTATACTTACTTCAATCTGGGTGTCCTTTGTGTATTCCTTACAGATCTGTGCACTGATCCAGAATAAATCAACTCCTGCACTTTACCTTTTGTGCAGTAATAAAGACCAGTCACTGCTTCTCTCTCTCTTTGTGTTGGGTTAATGTACTTTTATCTGCCCCCCCCCCCCCATAGTATTCTGCAGGCAGTCTATAGTGGTTGGGGCTGGTGGGTCTCTGCTCTTTGGATAGGGTATGTGCAACCCAGTGATGATGCCACCACTACTTCTTCAAGCTGATATTTGGTGCACGCATAGTGGATATATATACTTTATTACTGTTATGGAATATAGTTAAATTCTAGTTTTTGTGCCCTGAGTTCCACTTTAGAGAACAAGCCTCATAAAGTAAATAAAAAAATGTCCTTTACTGTCCCTGACTGAGACAGATACTCTTTTATTTGTGTCTCACATGCTCCCCCTTCCAGACACTGCAGCTCATGGTGGGAGGGTTTTAGCAACAGAGCCAGTGCTGTCAGTCCAGAAAGCAGTGGGCAGGACTAGGTGTGGACAGGTGCTGATGGGCAAAATAAAGGTTTGTGAATCCGCAGTAACAATGCTGATAGCCATTACTTTGCAACATATTCCCATCCCACTGTAGTGCAAGCAGGCACAGCCTACATGAGAGTGGCAACTCTGCTCTGAATTCAGGAGCAGTGCTACATCACTGCCACACCATCACAGGAAGTGATGCCTTGATAGCAATATAGCAATAATGATAGCAATAAAGGTAAGTTAAAAGTCTAATAAAATAAACACCCCAAACAAATGTTAGAAGCCCATCACACCCACGTACAGTACATGTGCATACAGACACATATTTGGGTCAGGTGCGCAGACATGTCACAAAGATGATTGCGCCACACATTAGGTATCGCCGTGCACTCCGGAGTGAGACCAATCATTTTAGAGCCATCATTCTTGGTTAACGCTAAATTGATACGCTATAAAGTCTTTTAAAGTATTGCCTATGGATGGTTTTGGGTACTGTAGTTTTTCACCTCTTCATCTTTTATATTTTTCCAACAAATTAGGGAATATATATTGTGTTTGTGAGCTAAAATAATTTGGGTGTATTTCTTACTGAAAATATAGATTTGATTTACATTGTGTGACACAAAAATTTGCAGCTACCAAACATTTTATTCTAAAAAAAATTCTGTTTTTAGAAATATATAATATTTTGGGGTTTAATGTACATTTTCATGCATAAAGTGTGCCTACGCGCACAATGGAAAAAAGGCTCCAGCAGCAAAAGGGTTAATACATGCTAGGCATCACATGGTAGAGCAACAGTTTTCAGTTTGCTGAACAGGTGAAATAATAAAGGTTTTCAATGCATGTCACCTGTTTACCGTCTTTACTTATTTTAATTGTGCATCTTAGTCTAGATATATTTATTAAATTGACACTAAAGTCCGAAATTAAATCTTAAAAATACATTCAGCTATCTTAACTATTAACAAAAATAATAGTTCATTTTGGTGCATCACTCAGCTGTAAATCCTTAAATCATCTCTGAATTGGTGCTGACACTGTCCTTCCTTCTGGAGGATGGCTACTTCTGTTCCCCATGGTCCCTGTGTGTGCTGTAAAGTAGTCACCGCTCAAAGATTGCTCCTGTGATGGACTACAATCTCAATACAAATTAGTAAACTAAATGTGAGATTGTAGTCCATCACAGGAGCGAGCTTGTAGCGGTGGCTACTTTACAACACACACAGGGACCATGGGGAACAGAAGTAGCCACCCTCCAGAGGGAAGGTCAGGGTCAGCATGAATTCAGAGATGATTTGAGGATCTACAGCTGAGTGATACATAAATAAGATACATTTTCGTTCATAGTTAAGGTACTTAAATGCATTTTTAAGATTTAACGCCTGTGTTTAGTGTCACTTTAAGCATTAACCTAAAACAGTTTAAAGTAGCATTCAAGTTTTTTTTTATTTTTTTGGTATATACCTAATGCTAGTAAGCAGTAAATATATCCCCCAACATTGAGAAGAAAAAAAAGTTTTCCAAATACCAACAAACTTACCTGTGTCAGTGCCGCTCACTCCCGGCTGTGGAAGTCCCGACTCCCGAATGCTGTGAAGAAGGAAGTGTGGGCAAGCACATACGCAGTCTAGATCAGCTGAGAGGAGAGCAAAAATGGCAGTAAATGGACGCAGCCGTGAATGCGTACGCCTGACAGATTCCGTGGAACACAAGGAGTCTGCGCTGGATCAGTGACCAGCATCAGTGCTGGAGGGACTATAAAAAATGAGTGGAAGGAAGTAGCTGTTCGGATCAAGAGGCATCACATAAGGTAAGTCCTTAAAGGAGAACTATGGGGTTAGGGTTTTTCCCCATAGTTCTCCGAAGGGTAACGGTAGGACACAAACTAGCATCCTCCCGTTACCCTAAGCTCAGTATACCGCGAGCTGCTGCTCGCGGTATACTGAGACGCCGCAGCTGAAACGGATCCCGACAATTATGTCTGGATCCGGCCAGCTGCGTGACTGACAGCTGACTCTGCCTATCTAGAAGCAGAGCCAGCTGTACCCGCCCCCCCCCCGTCTGTTCCGCCAGTCAACGCTGGAGGATCTGAGCGGGGGGGGTATCAAGTCCCTCCCCTGTCACGGCTCTCTTCCGTGACAGGATCGAGAAGTGAGCGAACGCCAGTATGTGTTCGCTCACTTCCCGATCTACTGAGCCGACCTGTGACAGTCTCATTGTCACAGGTCGGCTAGAACTATGAGGTGAGTGAAAAGCACTCACCTTATAGTTCTCCTTTAAAGCAGCATTGTGGGGGGGTTCTGCCTTCCATGTCACTTTAATTGTATGTTTAGTATGGATTTTGTAGAATACATGGTGTTTGTATGTGATAATAACTAGGTCAGGAATACAGTCTTTTAATGTCATTTTTTTTACAAGAGTTATGTGATGAGTAGCCTTTTGTGAGATCTGTAATATGAGGGGAGGTCTGTGATCAATACATGTGAAACATGGAAAACCTGGCTCAGCCATCTGAGGAGCAAAAGGTGAGCAATCACAGCTCCCATTGGTTTTTTTTTTCTTCAAACCAAGACTGTAACTGCCCCCTGTGCCAATTCCTTTTCTTTTCTAGTACTGCATATTTGGAATAAGTACACACTTGACAGTTACAGAAATAATACATTGTGGGCCTGCTTAAACATTTCCAAAAAGGTAGCAACAGTAAAAGGTGTGTCTCATCATTTCTGTGGCCTATCAACTAAAATATATGCTGCAAGGTAGTGCAGATATTAGCCACAGATCTGCGTATGGGACTGACTTGCCCTGATAAGAGTCTTTACAGACGTTTAGCAGAGGGACCCTAAGCCAGTAGAAGCTGCCTTCTTCCACTGTCTAGCTGGGCCAGAAGGGAGGAGGCAAGTTGGCAGGTTCCCTGTGACTAGTGTCCAGATGGACATTCACCAGAGGGAGCAAGCATTGGGCAGCTCTGTGCCTGCACTTCACTCTTCCCCCGATTATCACTTCCTGATCATGGGGGGGGAGAGAGATGCCATGAACTGCTTTAGCTCTGCACACTGCACCATGTATAGTTTATCTAGGCAACAGTGTTATAGAAATTTAGCTTTGTTTTCTTTAAATTGGATTTCTGTATTTCTGTGTTTATATGCTGGCACCTTTGCTGCTGGTTGCGACTTAAAGAAGAACTCAAATCTTAACCCTTGCAGTGGGGCTACCCCCACTTTTCAAGGGTTAAAGGACAACTTTGAAGTGAGTGATTTGCACTTCTCCTCATAGTTCAAACTGTCACATGTCGGCCCTATAGATCGGGCAGTGTGCGAACGCATGCCGTCACCTGCTCACTTCCCGATCATCTCCCTCCAGAGAGCAATGACTGTCAGTCACCGTTCCCCGCAAAGACTCCAGCGCTGACTGGAGGAACGGACGGGGGGCGGCGGGCACAGCTGGCTCTGATAAGCAGAGCCTGCTTTCAATCAGCCAGCTGGGTGGATCTCAACAGTATTGTCAGGATCCGTTTCGGCTGTGGCGCTCTCAGTATATAGCGGGCAATAGCTCACTGTATAGTAAGCGTTGGGTCACGGGAGGAGGTTAGTATGTCCTCCCGTGACCCTAAAGAAAACTAAGGGATAAAAAGGTTACCCCATAGTCCTCTTAAGTGCTTGTTTTGCCTATGGAGCTAAAATAACAGAGATACTCACCCGAACTGCGGTCCCGGCTGGCTCCTAGACCAGTCCCTTCAGCCTTCATCGGTCTCCTCCTCCTCTCCAGCAATGGCATGTCCCTTGGTGTCCTTACTTCCAATTCACTGTATTGGACGCGATGACTCTCAGTGGACCTTAGACCACTGAAGCGGAGGGGAAGCGAGGCTAAAGGGCTGGTCAAAGAGCTAGCCAGGATCGTGGTTCAGGTAATTATATCTCTGTTATTTTAGCTCCCTAGACAAAACAAGCACTTAACTATAAGATTTTATTTGCCAAGAGTTCTTCTTTAACATATGCTGAAAATGTTAAGATGTGGATTTGAAATAGTAAGGTCATTATCTTCTGACTGGGGCTTGTGACTAACCCAAGATCCTTTCTTTCTGCAGGAGTGAATATGTTCGGGTAATTTACGAGCGTGTGAAGGAAATTCCCTTCCAGTTGTGTCCTCTGGAGGGTGATGAGGTCTCTGTGCTAGTTTGTGATCCGCAGAATGCATCTGGTCTGACTTTGCAGATTGTCCATGAGAAATTTAATGCTGCCTCTTTGAACCTAAGTGAGTTACTAGGGCACTACTTCAGCGGGGAAAAGCCTACAGGCTTGCTGGAAACAGAGGAGATTCTGCCTGTGGGAACCATACTAACTGGGGTAGGGAAACTGACATTGAATCATAAAGGGGAAATGACATTGGAACCTCCTGAAAATGGTTCTACATACTTTTTATCCCTTTCTGGATATGAGGACATACTGCATCAACAAGAGTCACTAGCTAAAATTTGGCGGGGTGCAGCTTTGTTCTTTGGAGCTTTGGGGGCTGTTGTGGTATGCATTGCCATGTATCGAGCCTATCAGAGATATAAAGAGAAACACAAAAGACAAGACCACCTAGATGAGCAGCGTAGTCAGACTCCGGACTTTGATGAGGAGCCAGCGGATCCTGAAAGATTGTGTGTGATCTGCATTTCTAGAACGCGAGAATGTGTGATCTTGCCTTGTGGGCATGTATGCTGCTGCTTTTTTTGTTACCAGGCTCTTCCTAACCAGATGTGTCCTATCTGCAGATGTTCTATAGAAAGAGTTGTTCCTCTTTTCCAGGTATAAATACTGCATTTCATAGCTCGATTGCTTAAGGGCTTGTTCACACGATGTCCGGATTCGGTCCGGACCAGAACCGTGCGCTCCTGCACCCAAAATGCATTCCAATGTATACCTATGTGTTTTATGGGCTACAGTTCTCACCAGCGCAGTCCGTTCCGGTCCGGACAGAAAAAATACTGCAGGTCACATTTTCGCCGGTCCGGAAACGGACTGGAAATGCACGAAAGCGTCAAAAACGCAATGAAAACGCACTGCAGCTAACATACTGACAGCCCCACTAATTGTTTTTTTAACAGGAATGCGTCAAAAACGCACTGCACGCATAGCACCGCGTCTGCAGATCTGGATCAGAAAATGGTGTGAACAAGCCCTTAAAGTACACTGAAAACGGAATGTGAAACCTTGAGATAAGTACGGGGAGCTGTACGGAGCTGCAGTTTTTTCACCCAGACACTGCTGCACTGCTGTTTTTAGATGACCTTTCTGCTAACTCCAAGACTGAAAACTCCTGCCTAATGTTCACTGTCTGGGGGGAGTTTTTTTTTAAAATAATTAAAGTGACATTAAACCCTCAGATTTTTTAACCTAAACCAATACTGTAATGTGTGCCTTACTGTAATCCATGGTTGTTTCCCTTCTCTTTGCTGCTCTTCCTTTTAAATCCTCATGTCTTCTCATGCTTGGGGAGAACTTCCCTTTGCAGCTCAGGGCCTCTTCCTGTAGTGCTGGCTCAGGTTACAAGCCTATACAAACCTATACACAGACACCATGTATCCATTCCTGAGACAAGGCAGTCTGCTGCAAAACAGAAGTTCTGCCCAGCATGAGAAGAGATACGGATTTAAAAGGAAGAGCAGCAAAGAGAAGGGAAACTACCATGGATTACAGTGAGGCACACATTACACTATTGTTTTTTGTTAAAAAAATCTGGGGGTTTAATGTCACTTTACCCTGTCTGTATTGTGCTGGCAGATTTAATTATCATTTGTAAACTAGATGAGCTGGACTGCCTGTCATAAAAAAGGGTTGAAGACCTGAAGACACTGTGTCTTAAACTTTTAAAGAACTGTCCCTCAGTCAGTCCCCTTATTAGCTTACTGGCATCTATTCTACCCACTAGAAGCTGCCTGTAGAGTCCTATGCAAAGTCCTGCTCCAAATAAGCAGCTAAAAAGGTAAGGTTTTTTGAAATTATTATTTTTCTGTAGGCTGTGTGAATGGGAACACATACCAAACCCATAGAGGGGGTGTCTCAAATCTGTCTGCAAAAGTGGAAATACACTTTAAAGGTTTGAACGTGATAGATAAAAGGACGATTCACTGCCCAGACTACTCCCTATGCCTAGAGAGGTGATATCTGGATTCTGGCTACAGTGGCTTATAGAGGCCCCAGCCTTAGGTACACTAAATCAACGTTCTGTCTTTAGGACAATTGCAGCCATTCCTGAGTAGATTTAGCAGCTCACTCAGTTGTCTCACCTGGGATTGCTCTTTGTGTAAATTATGACAGACTGTTATTGATTAACAGCATTACCTTTATGGTATTAGACTATTGGTTTTTGTGCATAGAATAAATTGGATTAATGGTTAGCTATTGCACTTTCTTTTCTGAAACTTATCTCACTCAGTAGACACTAAGGGGCTGATGTATGAACGTTCCACCCAGAGTACAGCTGGGCAAATGACGTTCGCATTGCATTGTGGCCACTAGATGTAGCTGAGGAGCATAGGACATTCTCTGAATTTTAGGACTGTACATATATATATTTGCCCTTTTGACAAGAGCTGTATGGTCGGATCATTAACGTGGACCTGAGCTGAAAAAGTGAAGATTTGCTATGTTTTAGTGAATATCTAAACATTTTACTTTATGTCTGGAGTTCCTCTGAACATTTGTTAATTTAACCCTTTCACTGCCACCACCACATGCCATGTAGAAGTTTGCTTACATATGTAAAGTTGACTGTCAGCTTTAAGCTGCCCACACACCTTGCAGATTTTCTGTGGTCAGATGGAAAAGTTGCAACAGATTCCTCCATCTACACTTAACTGTGTGGATGGAGTAATCTTCACCTGGGCCAATCTGTTGCAGATTGGCCCAGATAAATTGTAAGGTGTGTGGGCACCTTTACACTTGAATTGAGCCTTATAGAGATCTAATGTCTCCTTAAGGAGCACCTGTCACCACTACTGTGGTGCAAAATGGAAAGTATTAAAGAAAAACGGAAATATTCTCATGCTCTAAAGTACATATAAATGGATTTATGAATGTACTTCTAAATATGCAATGCAAATGAACAAGATAGCACGTGATAAATAATATAATACTTAAAAAAATACTATTGATTAATAAAGAGCTGGATACAAGGCAGATGTCGCTATAATATAACAAGCCCAAAATGCAACCAGGGCTATTAGAGAAGGATGACCTGAAAAAAAAGTCAGTGGGCCTCATGCAAAATGTGGCAGAATGAAATGTTTAAAACTGAACACAAAAGCAATATTGATTGTAATCAAAATGAATACAAGACAGATGTCTTTAAATATAACATTAAACAAACTGCATGCTGTGATGTGGCCCAGGAAAAGCATTCTTGGGGAGATGTAAGAACTCTTTGTCATTTCACCCAGTAAGAAGCAAATTATGGATCTGCATTGTAAAAGCTATAGGAAGAACCAATCCCGTTTCATCTTTACAATGAAGGAAAACATCTTATTATGGGTGAGAACCCCAATTTCACTCCACTTTTATTTGCTACAGTTTTGGTATTTCAACCTCTCTTTCCTTATGCAGAGCCAAACACCTACAACATTGGGTGCTGGTTTTCACCTCAAAAAGCATGATATGTTAATACAAAGAAAGCAAGACAGTTAAAGTGTACCTGTGCCCAGACTGAACACATTAAAGTAGTAAAATGTTTTAATTGTACATTAAGGGAAAGTATGAAGTAATTCTGGTACATTGAGTTATCCTGTTGCCTTCAGGAGATTGAACACTGGCAAACAAAGCTGTAAGACAGCCTAGTATAACCACTCCCAGTCCCACCATGCTCCAGTTTTTGCTAGTGTCCTAGGAGACATGCTACTTCTTTCTTTTTAATTCCATTCTTTTTATCATTTCTTTTGAATTCCATCCTTTTTATCAAGATTTTTTTTTTTAACCAAGATTATACTGTTGATGCAGGACCAGAAGGGCTGATATTTCAGCTTTCATGATTGTCTGATCCTTGGCATGGGCATGGAGACAGTACCCAGACCCTGCTGTGTGGAAGAAGCGGGATCAGCCTATAATGTGACCTGCGGGGCAATGGACTCTCCTAGACACTTTTTGTAAGGTAAGTTGCCGCAGATTGCTTTACAGGTCCAGAGCTGTGATGCACCCATCTGGTGAAACCCTGTCCCCAAGGACTCCTTAGGAAGTATGCTCACCAAGAAGGTGAAGACTGTCTGGATTGGGCATGTCCCTTCTTCCTGGTTTGCTGCATGACATCTTCTGCACCACCACTGCAGTAAGTTCAGGGTATCCCACTGATGTGAACAGAGTGCTGCTCCATTTTTTATTTTGGCACTAAGTAAGTTTGCATAGGCAAAATTATTTTGTTGCTTAGCTTCTGTAAGAGTCTGCATGGCTTCTCCTGTGTCACTGCCCTGTGCGCACACCCTCTTATCCTTTCTGCCATCTCCTCTGCTGCACACTAAACAATCCTCACAGAACATTTAACCACGAGCTCCCTGCTGCCTTTCAGCGATGAGGTCATAGATGGATTCATCTTTCTTGCATCTGCAGTAGTTTTGTAAGTATCCATTGAGGAAATTCCCCCCTCCATACTATAGCATGGCAGATCATAAACCAAAGGGTAGTGGTCCTGCTGACCTTGCCAGATCCACAATGCACTAACAGTTAAAGAGTAGCTTGCAGTGTGCCTCCTAAAGGACCTGACACGGGAAGCCCAAATCATTGTTCCCTGCTTGAGTCCACCTATTCCTGAGTCCTCTTTTATTTTCTTTTTTCAAATTCTTTTTTTATGAACAAGAGGGTGGGATACAGAGAGAATAAGCAAAAATAGTGGCCACATGGCCTCATATCAATCCAAGTCAGTCAACCTGACCGCAAAGGCTAAGACTAAGGAAGTGCGAACATCCCATTCTGTATCAGAACATACATAATATCTAATATATATAAATAATGACGGTCTAGGTTAGGTCGTACTCTCTTCTTCCCTTCTCTTCAGGCATTTTTTATTTATAAAACAAGAAATAAACATTACTATTTGGTAGACCGCATGGTCCAGCACACTAGCGAGGGAGGCCAGTACCATTTCGGTCCACTCCTAAGGAGTACAGACGGACAGAACAAACAACAGAAAACAAAGTAACAAAAGAGCGAACGACATACAACACACCAGGAGAGGAAGGGGGAAATTCCAGGTATCGGTCAGTTCCAGGCCGTCCGTCCGGCATGGATCACTTCTAGCCCAGCAGGGCAACACTGCCCCTTCTTTGAGCCGTTCTATCCCTATCTTCAGTTCTTGCACACATTGGAGAAAGCAGCTGAGTCTCTGAACAGGTACCATGTAGCAACAAATCTGGCCTGGGTCCCATTCAATGAGGAGGTCAGATCTTCCATCAGTTTGATCTCCTCCACTCGTCTAGCCCACATCTCGATAGACGGCTGGAGGGTCTGCTTCCATAAAGCCGGAATACAGGCCCTTGCCGCATTCAGCATGTGAATCAGCAATGAGCGGCGATAGTTTTTAACGTGAAAGCGGAGCCAAGTGGAGGAGATACACCAAGGGTGTGAACGGGAGTGTAAGGCCTGTAATTTTGCCTATCAGTGTGGCAATCTGGGACCAGAAAGGCCTGACTTTCGGGCAGGACCAGAACACATGCAATATTGAGCCTGGTTCTTCTCCACAGCGCCAACAAGCTTCGGACACAGAGGGGTACATAACATGGAGGGTCGTAGGCACTCTGTACCATCTGGTCAAAAGCTTGTACCCCGCTTCTTG